ACAACTGTCCACATGCTTCAGGAAAGTGCCCAGGTTTAGTGAAGAATGAAAAACTAATCATCCTTCTTAAGGCTGAGTTGGCTTGGTTATTATGCTGATTTGGCCAACTGATTGAGCTGATCTACCCAAACTGTGATTTTGTTTTTCTAAATTACTATACAGAGAAGAACACTGCCTTTGCCAAAGAGACCCAATCACGGACTCTCCAGTTAACAACAAGAAAGAGTGTGTTCTGCAACATACTTCTGCAAAAATTTCTGAGATTAGTCTTATGGGGGCTTTGAAGCAAGACATGGGAAATGACTACATGGGCCTGAACCATTATACATCATATTAGCCTGGACCAAAATCATCATTTGCTACCACCTTCCTAGTAGCTCTTAAGTGAAAAGCAAATGAAGGCTGCTCTTAAAGCCCACTGTGTATCTTTCCAGTTTGTTGTTTGGGGATGAATAGCAAGTTGTAATTAGTTGCTATAAAAATATACCACGTCATTAATCTTCATTTTATTTTCTATTTCAGTTTTTTTCTTAAACTGAAGTCTGTAGAAAGCCCATGTATTCCTCACATTTATATAAACATTAAAAAAAATACAGTCATTCCTTTCAAAATCTCTGCAAATAGTAAAGTAGTTGGTAATCACAGGAGAGAAAAAAATTTTTGAAATATTTTCGGGTATCCTGAAAATGGCCACACACACATGTTGACCTCTTAAGTTAATGGGAGAAATGAAAAATAAGGCACGTCTTAGTCTCATGGTATTTTTTAGAAGAGTTATTGTATGACACTCAAGAATAGCAAAGTGGAGGCAATTATAAAACTAGTAAATACTAATAACTTTTAAGCCAATAATGGCGTTATACATTTTCTATAAATTAGTAAATCTATAAAATTAATAATAATGAAGTATCTAGAATCACTACACGAATACGTAATGATCACCAATTTACACAGAATATTCAGCGCTTCAAATTGATTGGTCGTCTATACTGATTTATATATAAACTAGCTTTCAATATGAAACTCAAAATCTTCATTTATTCAGCGGACTGTGGAATAAGAATAAACTTAGAACCCACAACTACGATTTCCAGCCTAATTCTCACAAGATAGATATCTCAGGATTTACTCAGATACTCAGAACAGAAAATGTACCTGGACACCTAAACAAGAAAGCTAAAAGTTAAAACTAAAAACTAGATTTTTTAGAAAAAAATAATTGAGCACCCAAAAAGAGGCCCTTTGCTGATCTTGACTGTGAGAGAAGAATATACAGCTGGATATAAATTGCCATTGTTTAAATATATAATAAGAGAGGTTGTTTATAAAGTAAATCCTACCATGTTTAAAAACTATATCAAATAGCAATATTTACTTTATGATAATTTTAAAATTAAATCAATAGTAACTAAGAAATGCAACAAGTGCAAAATCGATCATTCTTTCATATGAAATGGACAAAATAAAAAAGCATTATTTATTTTTTATTTAATACAAATTATAATTAAAATCAAACCATAACATTTAGATAATTACCTAGTTATCTAATTTATAGCTACACATTAGCTACATGGAAATATAACAGTTGTTCATCTCATAAAAGAATAAAATACTACAGTTATTTCTACAGAAAAAGTCTTATAAATGCACTTTCAAGAAAGTAATTTTTTAATGTGCAAGATTCGCTGTATTCATTAAATGACAGAATACTATCGGCAGTTTACACAAAACGTATCTCTTCACTGTTAGCACATACTTTCTCCAGTACAACAAAGGTTGGTATCTTACGTGTTTCACCATCTACTTTTGTTATTACAAATTCAAGATCATCCTTCATATACTAATCTCTTATGGCAGAGGTCATTGCAGGTGTGCCAAAATTCAATAATTACATTCTATCTAATGTAGCAATACATTTACCTCATTGCTGAATTTACTATTTAGAACAAAGCATTTTGTTTGAATAATAAAATGCTCAACAAAAATGCCCTGTTACAACATTTCTCGCATTTAAAGATTGTGGATAAAATACTACAGCTTTAAAGTGTGTTTTTTTTTTTTTTCAACAAGAAGTACATTTTATACTTAATTATTTAATATTTCTTTTAACTTGGGGAAAGGAAAGAATTTTATGTGTCTGTTGCATAATTGAAACTAACCAAAATACTGTCACACTTAAAATGGTAAAGACCCATAATTTAAATTGACAACTACAAATGAATTTCACTTTCTCTAAAGAGTGAAGTAGTTCCCAGATTTTAAAGTGGAATCGGTTTTTAAATTTCCAAGAGATTGGGAAAAATAACAAACAAATCAAATTATTCAAACTGTTCTTTGCAAATAAACTTAACAGAATATTGAAATATTTTTCTTTTTAGAAGTAATATATTCTGAATGTTGTTTTAAAATGTCAACTCAGTGAAAAACATGTATTCAGTGTTTTGCAGCCATTGTCCCAAAAGGAAAATGAGCTATTAATTCCATTAACAAGCATACACTTTTGAAATATTCAATTACAATTTATAGTTATTGCAAAAAAAGAGTAAATTTCTTAGCTTTTTCAGTAAAGTACATGACTTAAATTTTTCTCAATACTTATGTGTTTCTATCTCAACTCAAAAGTATTTGTCAGTAATTTTGTACAATTGAATTTCTTCTGACCTCACAAACTAACGTATCTGTGCACTTTAAAAGTTTGATATTTTACCGCATTTATTTTACGATGGCCTCTAGTAGCCAAAAATCCCTACCACAGCAAGGGCTAACATCATCACTTTAAACATTTCTCAATATATTTAAGAGAAATAACCTATCAGTTTCAAATAAGCAAGACAAATAATTAAAAAATAAATGGAAACAGAAGACAATGTTGTGTTATGACACCTAAGGTTAAGATAAAAATAGAATTCAAAAATAATTTTTAAGCAAGGATCTTGCTGAATAAGCAAGCTATCTTATTTTTCCTGCACCTGTTTGATGATAGTAAATAATAAAAATGTTCCTGCTTTATTCAAATTTTGAAATATCTAACATATATTAATTTTTTTCAAGAATATAAAATATTAGATTAAATGAGAATTCAATTGTGATCTCACAAAGAAGTATAGAACTAATCCAGGTAAATATCTATAAATATCAGATATGTATTGCCCTTTCCCAATTTATAGCATCTCTGTATTTTAATGTTGACTAATGTAACTTAAAACACTTCATGCCTGAATGGTAAATACAGTATCATAATTTACCCCAGAGTAATACCAAAAATATTTTATACATACACAAATTATATATACATATGTAAATTGATCTGAAGGAAATCAGATGCATTTGCTAATGCTAAAATTTACTTTAAGCTAATGTTCACTTTTTTCTATGACTCCAATTATCAATCTTTTCACTGTGTAATAAAAAAAAAGGTAAGATATACATAGCGATAAACATAAAAAAAAATATCTACTAAACAGCTCTAACTCATGATTCTCTAGAGAATAAATCAAGTTCTTATCAATATTTCTTTAAAAATATGATTATTTTAAAGTGAAAAATAAAGTTTCACTCTAGATTACCATAGACTAACATATAAGGCAAAATAACAGTATAATAAGGTTTCTTAAAAAGAAAGCAGAGCAACTGAGATCCCACTTTTCTGCTTTTAAATACACTTCCACATGTCTGTTTTTAATGTCTAAATATATTGCTGAAAATGGTTATGTAAAATCTGAGGCTGTTTGTATCTGATTACTAAGGTATTTCATTGCAACCTGTGAGTTTAACTCTTAAAATGCTGGAGTATAAAGTAACACATTGGCTTTCATGAAAAAATTTATTTATAATAAAATAAAAAGTGACAGTTCTAAAAATCAGATGAAAGTGTCTTTATGCTTTCTTTCACACACACACAAAACCTCATTTTTATCGCAAAGCAGCAATTAAATACAATTATTTATTCAGTCATGTTTATATATATCAAGCACTTCTACTAAAACATTTGTTGTAAACACATCAAAGTGTTAATACAGTTTTTAAATTATAAGAAAAGTTGTAACATTTTTTAGAATCTTAAACATCATGATATTTAAAACACATAAAACATCCCATTTTAAAAATGTTTAGCTTCATTGTGCACAGAGTGAAACTTCTAGAAAACTTCATTACTTACTGTCCACCGAGTATTACTGACAGAGATGAACAGTTTTCAGAATTCATCTGCTAATTATCCTGAAGTGTTTTGAATAACTCTTTCGTACTATACAGTTCTCAGTGTGATTATCCCTACACTGATCTGCTGAGAAAAACAACAAAAAAAAAAATCGGTAAATCTTCCTTAAGATTGTTTTTGTTATAACATATTTTAGGTGGCCACAAGCAGGAACTCACAATTCTCAAAAGCAACGATATGAGGAAAATGTTTTTAAATGCTTGTTTCATATTTACTGTATAAAGTCATTTTGACATGCCTACACAACTGATTATGGCAGCTTTCAGACATGATTTCTAATCAAAAAAAAAAAAAAAAACTTTTTTTTTTTGCTCCAGGTTCTTTAGAGAAAGCTTGCCGCTGGGAAGTTGATCTTGGCCAAGTGCCAAAATCATGTGCAAAGGGGCCTCATTAGGGATTCATGGCAGCCTTCAGCACTAACAAAAAATGTGACCCAACAGGCTAAATCAGCGACTAAAATTAAAAAGTAAGAGACAAAGACAACTTACTTAATATTCCTTCCAAAGCAACATTAAACTTCTTTTGGTAATTAAACCCTTGTTAGTCTAATGCAGTGTTCCTCTGTCCTCAAATGATTGTACAATTACTCTTTAAAACTTGTCAATTTCCCTCCTAAATACACTTTCTTTCTGCGGCAGTTTACAAAGATTTTGCTATATAATAAAACCCTATATCCACTATAATCAGTTCAACAGCAGAAAACAAAATCGTCAAAATGCAGACTACAGTATTCCCTTAAGATTTCAACAAACAAACAAAAAATAAGCAAACAAATAAGTACCTTTTAAACTTCTACAGAAGTGAACAGGCACACTCCAAGCTCACGTCGCTTGTAATGATTCATTCTCACTGCCCAAGATTTCCCCCCAAAAGTAGATTTGATACGCAGCCTTACCTAGATGTCTTCTGGCTTTCCTGCAGATCAAAAAGTTTCCTGCCTAAGCACACAGATATTCTTTCACAAACCATAAAGGCCCTTTTATGAATCCAACCCTGGAACAGTCTGCCCTCCACACCACGTTGAGAGCCCAGTGCGTCAGCTCTCAAGATAAAATACACTGCTAATACACAATTAGTGGGAGAGGTTGTCTACTGGAGAATTTATCTTAACGAAAGAAGGAAAAAGAAGCTTTTTTCTCTGCTTTTTTTTTTTTTTTCTGGAAAAAGAAGAGAGGGTGCGGTCAGATGTTAGGTTTTGCCTGAGAAAGGGCCCTACACTGCACTAGTACCTAAATAAAATTTATCTTAACGAAAGAAGGAAAAAGAAGCTTTTTTCTCTGCTTTTTTTTTTTTTTTTTTTCTGGAAAAAGAAGAGAGGGTGCGGTCAGATGTTAGGTTTTGCCTGAGAAAGGGCCCTACACTGCACTAGTACCTAAATACTAGCAGAAGCTGCCTGGGAAGACAGCCAATGGAAGGACTTTGTTTGACCCAGCTGCCAATCTCCCCTGAAGCCGTGCGCCAGACTAAACACTCACACTATTTTAACTGAAATCAGGCTACAGCAGCTGTTTGCTTTCCGGCTCTGAGCTCGGCACCCACCATGGCCTGTGCAGTTCACCCAGCGAGTTCTGCTAGCTGCGTGGCTAAAAATCTGTTCTGGGCTGGGGTTTGTCACTGGAGAGCAAAATTTAACCCTATTCCTCGTGGCAAATCTGTACTGTGTGTTGCTCAGCCTTTGCATCTGGTAATTCGGAATAATTTCACGATCTATTTAAAGAAGACTGACATTTTCTTTCACAGAAGAACAGATTTGAAGGTTACAAAGATTCATATTTTCTTTGAAATTCTAACCTAAATTCTTCAGATGTTTTCAAATAACACTAAGATAACTCTTGTGCATGGCAAGAACAAGACCCCTAACCAAGCACTTCTAAGAACAAAGATGGTACCTATTCAACCCAACCCAAACTTCTTCAGCCCTACCAAGAGGGAAAGTTGGTAGAATGGGTACAGAGACTCAAATCATTCTGAAAGTTAGTTCTTACTACTTCAGACTCCTCCAGAAGCAGCATCTGAGCACAAAAGTAATTTGTGCTCCTTATATGAAAAAGTACCAAGTGATCCCATTTATCTTTCCTAAATTTCTAACCTTATTTCGCTATTAGGCTGAATGTGAAAATTAATTATGAACTGTAAAAGATTAAAATGCGCCCATTGGTAAAGTGGGTGCCTAAAGTGAAAAGGAAACTAAAGAGAAGTTAGTCAGGAGAAGCACAGTTTAAATAATAACATAAGAATTATCTGATGTAACAGGAAGAAAAGATCTGATAACCAAGAGTTATTGCACACAAGATAGGAGCCAAATATTACATATACACAGAAAATAAGTCAGGAAGTCATTCAACATGTGGAAGAAAGCAAGACGTTGACAGGAGTGTGATAACATGGACTATAATCAAGTTATTCTTATTCCTGACCAAATTCCTAATTATGGAAAGAAAACCATGGTGAGAGAGGACAGCATCTTTTTCATTTAGGGATCTTTTCTGTTGTTGCTCAAGGGTAGAAGAATGTCTCTTCATTTACAGGCAAATAGCCAGTAAAACTTTTATTTTTTTAATGTAACTAATTCGGTTCACAGTGCAGTCAGAAGATGACCAAAAAAGAAACGTTTCTGATATACTGTAAAAGTACTACCAGGGAGAGTTTTGCAAAGTTGTTTCTCATACTTTAATAGAAAGTATACTTTGTTGCTGTTTCTGACCACAAAATAATATTTGTTTTCTTATCTTAGAAACTAGAGATTGAAATTACGAAAAGTAGTGAGGATGGTTCTAGAGAGGGTGAACTATTAGGTTTGATGGGTGCACGTAAACGGAAAGACCCAATTCATTAAAAATTCGTGTCAAGATAGAATTGTATGACAAATGAGTTACTATCTCATTCTGAAAGGACTACATGCATTAACCTGAAAGGTTTGCATTGGATCTGGCTTCCTTCATAGCGGAGTAAAATTGGTTGCTCAGAATTCTCATGGAATCAGATAAAATGTCGGAAAATGGTTTTTCTGTGTGTGTTTTTGTGTGTGCCTCTCTTCCAATCCACAAAAATATTCAACATGTTTCTCTGAATGGTCTGTTACAATCTACCAAGAAACTATCATGCAAATTACACAACTATATGTACTTCTGCAGTAGCTTTTTTTTTTTAATTAAACGTCTACTTTTATTTTTTTATTTATTTCTTTGCAGTAGCTTAAGAAATAGATGTTAGCTTTTTAAGTCATCCAGTCTGTGGTATATTTTATCACAGCCTGAGAAAACTAATATGTTTAAGTTAAAAGGAGTGAAAAATTATCTTATTGTAGATTACTTGATTACAATTTGTTTCTATACTCAGGTTTTTTATTTTGCATGATAGTTCTGATCCATGGATAATTTACAACCGAGGCATGGTACTAGATAAAAATTTCATATCAAGAGTTGGAATGATCAAAGGTTAGTCTTTGTAAGGGGAAAGTTCAAATAAATTCTACAAAGATAATAGATTCTAAAGGAAGAAGAAAAAGAAATGTGGGTGCCTTGTAAGAAAGTTTGGATAAAGTTAAAGAAAGTGAGACTGAAAATAATCAAAGATAAAATAAGTCAAGGGGGTAATCAAAACATCCCCAGGGGAAACCATATTTGCCCAGATAATCAAGAACAGACTCCCCATCTACATAAAGCTGGGAGTAGCAAGATCATGATGGGAAATGGATTAGAATAGGAACACTTGGGCTGCTGTGTCAGGCAGAATTCTAAGAGAGCCCTGAGATTCTCAATCTCTGGTATACCCTTATATACTACTCCATAAGTTGGGCAGACCCATGAATATGATAATTTAGTCATCTTGTTGATTAGGTTATCAACTTCCAACATTGATTCCTGAAGAATCAATGAGATCTCCATATAGAGTGAGAAGGAGAATGAAGATACTCATAGGGAAGTAATACACCTGATCAGAAGAGGTAAGGAAAAGACAGTTGAAGTTACCAATGCATCAGGTGGCATGTGATGTTAGCGTTCATTCATCTATCCTCTCAAAAATTCTAATTAATGTCACTCTGTGCAGGGGTACTAGGCTAACTGTTGTGTGGGATTAAAACAAAATAATAACAGCACTCAATCTCATGTTTCCAATAGTCTAGTTAGCAAACTGAAAGCCAAACAGTCAATTCTGAGGAAAATAGCACTGTTTGTTGAGCACTTCAGAATGCCAAGGCATTAGGTAATGTCAAGTGATTTAGTAAAATTAGATAGAATATTAGCACAACATTGATAATTTTCACATATTCAAGTATTAATAATAAACAGGTTACTCTATCATAAAATATGATATATTTTTGTCACCCTACAGCTTCTTAATATCATTGACTTAAAGTGCCTGGAGACATCATTATTTGTGTGAAATTGTAATTGCTAGTCTCTCTTGCATTTTTGGTAAGCAGTTCCATTATTTCCCAAGCTAGCTGAGACCAGAAAGACCACATATCTCTTTAAAACTTAACAATTAAAAAACAAAATCTAAGACATCACTGTTGTGCACAAAAGTCCATTATTACACCAAAGTAAATTGGAACCACACTATAGTGGCTTCAGATTTAATCAAGATATAGTAAGAAAACAAAAGTTTTTTGAATATGTTCCTAATGAGAATACCCCTAAAATACTGAGAATATCCCTAAAATAAATGTTAAATGTAAATTGAATGTGATCAGGGGATGGAATGATTCAAGTTCTCATAAATAAAATGATTCTAAATGATCAAGAAAATCACATGCAAAGTTTTAAAATAAGACCTGACACAACATACAATTATCAAAATACAAAAGTAAGTTAAAACCTGGAGTAACAAATGATGATACACATGGACACACAGCAAATATATAAACAGAAAAAAAAAATTAAGTAATGGAATGATCTATTCTTGTTGATTTGATTAAAATTTTAAAACAGACTTTACTTTGTAAGTTTTTTTTTAAACCGTTCCTGTTTCATTCCATTTTCTAGATTTACAATCTGTTTTTGAGACTTTTCATATTTTATAGTTTCAGAAGGATTAAGAACAATCTAAATACACACAAGGAGAAATAGATAACATGACTAGTCCTATATCTATAAATAAGTTGAATTAATAACTAATAACTTTTCTCCAAAGACATCACCAGATACAAACAGTTTCACAAGCGATTTCTACCAAACATTAAAGGAAGAAGTAATATCATTTCCCCACATTTTTTTTTAAGTAGAACACTACCTAACTCATTCAATGAGCCCAGAATTATTTTAATGCTAAAATTAGATACAAGAAAAAAAATCACAGGCTTGTATCTTTCTTGAATATAGACACAAAGTAAAAACTCACTAAAATATTAACAAGTGAAATTAACAATGTATAAAAATAATAACACACTGCAACTAAATGATATTATTTCATGTATGCAAGGCTGTTTCAACATCTGAAAAATCAATGTAATCTACCATATCATTGGACTAAAGGAGGTAAATCATGTGATCATATTAATTGACACAGAAGAAATAGCATTTAACAAAATCCAACACTCAATCACAATAAAAAATGCTCAGCAAGCTAGGAGTAGAGGGGGAATTTCTCCAAATAGGTGAAGGACATCTACACAAACCTACAACTAACAATCAAAAGTGAGTAGCTAGATGCTTTCCCTCTAAGACCAGGAACAAGGCAAGCATGTTCCCTCCTGTCACCATTCCTATTCAGCATCACATAGGAAGCCCTAGCTGATGCTATAAGACAAAATGGAAAGGAAAAAAAAGGATAAATATGGGAAAAAATAAAACTGTCTCAAGTGCTGGGGGCTGGTGCACTGGAAAGACCCAGAGGGATTAGGTGGAGAGGGAGGTGGGAGGGGGGATCGGGATGGGGAATACATATAAATCCATGACTGATTCATGTCAATGTACGGCAAAAACCACTACAATATTGTAAAGTAGTTAGCCTCCAACTAATAAAAATAAATGGAAAAAAAAAGCTAATATTGACAAAAGCACATGCAATAAGGTTTAGTACTTTCAATAAAGTGTTCATCGTATGTTAAAAAAAAACAAAAAATAAAACTGTCTCTATTCACTGATGATAGGATTGGTCTATATAGGAAAGTTCCAAGCAATTTGGTTTAAATAAAAAAGCAACCAGAGCAAGATTTCAGGATACAAGATTGATATACAAAATCCAACTGCCAGTTAGCAAATGAATAAGTTCTGTGGTTCTAATGTACAGCATTGTGATTATAGTAAACACCACTGTATTGTACATATGAAAATTGCTAAGAGCATAGATCTTAAATGTTCTCAGCACAAAAAAGACATGATAATTATATCATGTGGTGAAGTGTTAAATAATACTGTTGTAAGGCTTTCCCGGTGGCTCAAACTGTAAAGAATCCACCTGCAATATAGGAGACCCTGGTTTCATCCCTGGGTCAGAACGATCCCCTGGAGAAGGGAATGGCAACCCATTCCAGTATTCTTGCCTGGAGAATTCCATGGACAGAGGAGCCTGGCAAGTTGCAGTTCATGGGGCCGCAAGAGTCAGACACGACTGAGTGACTATCACTAACAGTAGTGATCAGATTGCAATATGCAAGTGGGTCAAATCAGCAAGGAGCCTGCATTCTAAGTGGCTTTTTCTGTGTCCGACTTTTTGTGACCCCATACCTAGGTATACATCTAACAAATATGTACAATACATATTTATGTGGAAAACTACAAATTGCTGGTGATGAAAAAAATGACGATCTAAATATATGTATGTTTTTGCTCTGTTAGGGGAGGGCCCAGTATGCAATGTCTCCAGTAGAGATGAACACATATACCACCCAGATCTTGGTTTCTAATACCATTCTCCAATAAAATGGACTAGGGCTCCTTGGAGAATTGTCTGATCCCAGGACTCAGCAAAATGGGCCTGAAGCTTCTTATAGTGCCAAAAAATAAGTGCCAGAAACAAAAATAAAAAATAAACAGTGGTGAAGATACATTAAAGGGATACAGGAGCCAATTGAAAGAGGTCTCAAGGGCCCAAATTGAAGCAATTTAAACAACAAAATATGTAAAGTAGTATTGGATTATAACCCAAAGTATCAATACAAAATAAACATCCATGAATACATACTGATATAAATTAATGGCTATATATTCCATACTTAAGGAGGCGGAGCAAATCTGCCAACTCCTTAAGTGTGGGCTGAGCATAGTAACTTCATAGTAACTATGAAGTAACTTCCTCCAAAGAGCACAATATTGAAAGAGAGAAAAAAATTAAGTTTACAGTGGAAAAAGCTGACGAACACTTTTGCAAGCCAGGTGATCAAGAATAACATCAACATTGATGTTATTTTAAAAACATTTAATTTTTATATTATATGATGAAAATGGCAATTGACCTTGGTGGTCTTCCTTCCCAAAATGTATACTTCAGTCTAAGAAAAACATCAGACAAATTCCAGTTGATGGATATCCTATGGAACTATTGATCAGTAAACCTCAAAATTGTCAAGTTCCCATTTTCTAGATTTATAAATCAGCTTTTCAAGGCTTTTCATATTTTATCAAGTTTATTTTATAGTTTCAGAAAGATTAAGAATGATCTAAATACACACGAGAAAAAAACAGATAACATGACTAGTTCTGTATCATTAGAAACAAGTCTGAGGAACTGTCACAGACAAAAATAGTGTAAAGAAACATGACTATTAATAGAATGTGGGGTCCTAAATAGGATTCTGGAACAACAAAAAAGGAGGGGCATATGGGAAAAATCTAAGGAAATCTGAAAAAGCATGGACTCCATGGTGGTTTGGATGGTAAAGAAACTGCCTGCAATTCGGGAGACCCAGGTTTGATCCCTGGGCTGGGACGATTCCCTGGAGGACGGCATGGCAACCCACTCCGGTATTCTTGCCTGGAGAATTCTTGGGACAGAGGAGCCTGGTGGGCTACAGTCCATGGGGTCCCAAAAAGTTGGACATGACTGAGCAACTAAATTATTTTTTGTAGATAGTGATATAATGACTGTTTGATGAATTGTAACAAATATGTCATACTACTGTAAGGATAAACTAGGTGTGGGTTAGGTATTCAGGAAATCTTTGTACCATCTTTATGATAATTCTGTAGATATAAAATTGCTATACAGTTAAAAGTTTATTAAAATGTGCATTATATAAATATTTTAAATAGGAAAAATGATTAAATATTTCATAATATGTTACCAATAATTTCTTAGGTGTGAGAGCAATAACCAGAAAGCAGTTTGGGGGAAATTTGTATTAAGTATTAGATCTACTCATTTTTTTTCCATGACACTGTTTCCCCAATATTTTTTTCCTTCCCATATTTGTGATTTTGTTTTTAACTGTTTAAATTTGATACTCAAGATTCGCTCCTTAGCCACTTTTTTTTCCTCACTCTACTCAGAAATCTAATTGACTTTTACTAATAGGTTGATAACCTCTAAATTTTCATCACAGACACCCCTATATGGTGTTCTAGATCCCATTTTTAAAATATCTGTTGGCTTCCCATGTCCATTCTTAAAACCATATTTATTCTTTTTCCTCTAAACTGTTCCTACTCTGCTTAACAGCCAACCATGATCACATGCCAGATGACTAAAGTCAGAAGAGAGCTCATGGTATTTCAACAGTTTCTGAGTAAAACATTGGGACAAGCAGAAAAACATGAAATATAAAAACAGAACTAAAGAAAAAAATTTATCAGTTTTCTGATACTTTTATCAAGAAACTTTAGTCTGAAGATAAAAAACATTTATTTTGCTCTAGGAAAGAAAAAGAAAGAAATTATGAAAGAAAAATTGATCTCCAAAAATAATTACAAATAAAATTATAGTTCATGAATAAAGTTCCTTAACTATAAGAAAATTTAAAAAAAACAAAGATATCAAAGATAGAGCTTTCTCAAACTTAATGCTAAATTTAAAAATTCACCATGTGTTTAGCAAAATTAATGGAAGAGGCTACAGACTTAGATCACTCTAGCAAAGAAAAATTTTAATTACAATTTTAAAAGACAAATCTTTGTTGTTGTTATCATTCATGCTAAGTCCATACGAAATGCTGCAATCCCATGGACTGCAGCATGCCAGTCTTACTTTTGCTTCACTATATTCCAAGTTTGCTCAAACTCATGTATATTGAGTTGCTGATGCCATTCAACCATCTCATCCTCTATTGCCCCCTTCTCCTCCTACCCTCAATCTTTCCCAGCATTAGGGTCTTTTCCAATGAAGCCAAAGGTCTTTTGGGTTCTTCATATCAGGTGGCCAAAGTATTGGAGCTTTAGCATCAATCCTTTCAATGAATATCAGGATTGATTTATTTTAGGACTGACTGGTTTGATCTCTTTGCTGTCCAATGGACTCTCAAGAGTATTATTCAGTACCACAGTTTGAAAACATCAGTTCTTCTATGCTCAGCCTTCTTTATGGTCCAGCTTTCTTATCCATACATGACTATTGGAAAAACCACAGCTTTGACTATATGAACCTTTTGTCAGCAAAGTGACATCTCTGCTTTTTAGCATGCTGCCTAGGTTTGTCATAGCTTTTCTTTAAAGGAGGGAGTATCTTCTAACTTTGTGGCTGAAATCACCATCCTCAGTGATTCTGGAGACCAAAAAGATAAAATATATCACTGTTTTCACTTTTCCCCATCTATTTGCCACTAAGTGATAGGACCTGATGCCATTACTTTCCTTTTCTGAATGTTGAGTTTTAAGCCAGTTTTTTCATCTCCTCTTTCACCCTCATCAGAGGCTCTTTCGTACATCTTCACTTTCTGCCATTAGGGTGGTATCATCTGTGTATCTGAGGTTGTCGATATTCCTCCCCACAATCTTGATTCCAGCTTGTGAGTCATCTAGCCCCAGTATTTCACATGATGCACTCTGCATATAAGTTAAATAAGCAGAGTGACAATATACAGCTTTGATGTATTCCTTTCCCAGTCTGGAACCAGTCCATTGTTTCATGTCTGGTTCTAATTGTTGCTTCTTGATGTGCATACAGGTTTCTTAAGGAAACAACTGAGGTGCTTTGGTACTCCTATCTCTTTAAGAATTTTTCCACTGTTTTGATCCAGAAAGTCTAAGGTTTTAGTGGAGTCAATGAAGCAGGTGTTTTTTTTATTTGTTTGTTTGGTTTTATTCTGGAATTCTCTTGCTTTTCCTATGGTCCAGTGGATGTTGGAAATTTGATCTCTAGTTCTTTTGCCTTTTTAAAATCCAGGTAATGTAAAGAATGTTCAGATTACTGTACAATTGCACTCATTTTACATGCTAGCAAGGTAATGCTCCAAATCCTTCAGTCTAGGCTTCAGCAGTATGTCTACCAAAAACTTTCAGATGTACAAACTGGATTTAGAAAAGGACAAGTCTTACCACTATCAAAATTTTTTTAAAAAGTGTGTGTATTTATCCACATAGGACTAAAAATGGTCTGTCCACATTATTTCTTTAAAAAATGAAAAATTAATAATATTGATGTATCCCTGGTGGTTCAGACAGTAAAGAAGCTGCCTGCCAATGCAAAAGACCTAGGTTAGAATCCTGGTTCAGAATATCCCCTGAAGAAGGGAATGACAATCCACTCCAATACTCTTTGCCTGAAGAATTCCATGGACAGAGGAGACTGGCCGTCCATGGGGTTGCAAAGAGTTGGACACTGACTCTAATATTGAGTATATTAGAGTATTATAGTATAATAGAGTATTAGAGTATAATATTAGAGTATAATAGTTT